TTTATAATTTTTGCAAAGGTGGTTTCAGTCTCTTCTATGTTCTCATAAAGGAAATGTAGTTGCCATTGGGAAGAAATTCTGGAGAGATGGTAAAGAAGGTACTGACATGTGTTAGACAATGGCTTATTGTGACAGGTGCTGGGTTATGTGCTGTTTATTCTTGTTCTATCACTGCATATACAATTTACATATGAACATATACTTTTATCCATTTGCTATTTATTTAATGAATATCTCATTTAATCTTCACAAACAGCTTGAGAATAAGGTTTTAATCTTCCCAATTTTGCAACCAGGAAGTTAAGGCTTAAGGTGGATGAGTAATTTACACGATGTTCTATGATTTACACTTCAGCAATTCTCATTCTTTAATGAGTAGGTTTGCAGTGTAGACTCCAGTATAGACTTTAGTAGATTCAAGTGGGTTTGTAGTTGGCTTGGAGCAGGTGGATTGTTCAAGAATGTGTTTATAGAATTATGAAATACTTTGTTCTGGTTTTCTTTCATTATTTAGTGCATATGCCCAAATTGCAGTTTTAGGCCAGAGCTGCTTCCCTGTTGATTAGGCTGACACCAAGGACTTGGTTTGACATTTCAGTCAACTCAGTCTTCCCTTGTTGGCCTTAAAAGCAAGCAAGCAAGCAAACAAAACAAAACCTAAAACTTTAGTAATGACTAAATTCCAGGTAATCAATTAAATCTTGATTCGTTGATTTTATTGTCATTAAATTGAATTAACCCAAAGTGACTAAATCTACTATTTGTCAATCTCATTCTCAATGGCAGAGACTTAAATTGTAGAATCTCCTCATCTGCACATCTGATTCCTTCCAGCAGCTGATTAACATGGCAGGAGCAGGAATCATATTTTGTTCATCTTTTCTATGTTGCACAAAGTATCTAGCAGAGTACTTGCATTTGTTGAATGAAAATATGTTAGATCAACTTCTTCCAACTGTAGATTTCAGACTATAGGTCAGGGCATCTCATTGCTACCGGTAGTTAATATGTTTATCTAAAACTGTAATTCATTGGCTTTCTTTGCTGTCTTGGCAGTGGAGCAAGAGATATTCAGAGGTTCTAAGAAATGTACGATGCTATTTATTCCATTGTATGTTAGACTTAGCTGTGTGGTTTCAGATTCTTAAATATAAAAAATTTCCATCTCTTACTTTTGATGAAATGTATGCAAAGCTGGAGAACAAGGTAAAAAGCTGAGTAAATTAGGAATTCTATTTTTTTCTCTCAAATGCTCAGAAACTTAATTAAAATTCCTTTGACATGATTACTAGATTATTGTCAGGACAAATCAAGATGATCCTTGAGAAAGCACTTGAAAACTGTAGACTGTAGACATAAAGGTCGTTTGTTAAAGCTTTAAAGCAAAATAAGGCCTCTTGAAAACACAGACCTGACGTTCTGACTATGTACATACTGTCTAATAAGGATGAAAGATTAAGCTCTGTTTAGCTACTTTTGTATAACAAGAATAAAAGTTTTTTTTTTTTTCTTGTATCCTAAGTCAGGAATTTAAACTGTTTTCTGATTAGTAAGGCTTTGCTGTCACACTAGTAATATCCTGTATAAGATGGACATCCTTCCCTGTTCCCCATCTTTCTACTTCTTGTGAAGAAAAAGTAGAAATTTTTGGAAGAATTGTGCTAGATATATATAACACTTATAATTTTAACTACTTTTAAATGTATACAGTTTAGTGGCTTTAAGTACATTCACAGTGTTGTTTAATCATCACCATTATCCATCTCCAGGTCTTTTCCATCGTCTCACTCTCAAACTCTGTACCCATTAAACAATACCTTCCCAGCCCCTGTCACCTGGAGCACTCCAGGTGGCTCGGCCCCCCCCCCCACAAAAAAAAACCAAAAACCAAAAAACAATACCTTCCCATACTGCCTTCCTGCAGCCCATGGTAACCTCTACTCTTTCTATCCCTGTGAATCTGCCTGTTCTTCTTGCTGAGCCTTTCTGTTATTATTATTCATTCAGCAAATATATATTGAGTACTTATAATGGACACTGTGAATACAATAGTAAACAAAAGTCCCTGCTCTCAAGGAGCTTGTATTTTAGTGGGAGAAAACAGACAACAAACAATAAGCACATTTAAAATATTTTTTAAAAAAGAGATTATCCTCTACATAATTCTTCTGCAACTTGATCTCTTCACTTGACAGTACATCTTAGATATCTTTTTCTATGTCAGTCTGAAGAGGCCTATCTCTTTAATTTATAATAGCTAAATTTATTGAATCTCTACTATACTCCAAGCACTGTTTTAGTTGCAACAATCTTATGAGGTAAGTATTGAAATGATCATCTTTTTACAGATAGCCCAGAGAAGTAAGTATAGGAGCTTGCAGTTAGTCACCTGGCCAGTCACTGATGGAGACAGAACCAGACTCAGATGAGCTGATTCCTTACTCCAATTCTACCCTGTTTTGAATGGCTACATAGTACTCTTTTTATCAGTATACCTTAACTTATTTAGGCAGTCTCTTATATGTAAGCCATTTTTAGGTGATTTTTTTTTTGTTATTGTTGTTGCTATCATAGACAGTACTATAATGAACATATTTATAGATGTTTTTACACATGTGTGATTTTCTATAAATTCCTAAGAGAAACATACACATTTCAATATTTGATAGGCACTATACTTAGTTTCCTTTTAAAAATATTTTACCAATTTATATTCCCACTAACAGTATAGGAGAAGGCCCTGATTTCCTTATATTTTCTTTAACAAAGGGAATTACCTAACATATATTTGCCCCATATGATAGGTTCAAAAATGGTATAGAGGGTATACTTAGCAATGTTTTTCATTTAAAAGTGTTTTTTATTTTAAGTATTTTAAAGAAATGATTGCTTCATTCTTTAACCTGTTCTTGGTCCTCTTTATCATATAAGAAAGCAAGCCATCTTTCTTATTTCCAGATGTCTGTAGTTTCTTGTTACTATGGAACCTTGGTAGGAAAAGGCCCTTGTTTCTGTGAAAACCTGAGGGCCCAGCGTGAGGATGTTCCGGGACAGTAGAGTTGACAGTGCACAGGGGATTAGCTTGCTCTGGTTATAGAGACATGATTAAAACATATTTGATTTCAGTACCTAACTGGCAAATAATGATGCAACTTCTGGAAAATTCCTAGATGGCTTTAGGGATATTTAAAAGAAGCCATACTCTTCCTTTTAAAAACAGATACACGAGATCCAAGATGGCTAAATAGGAACAGCTCTGGAGTACAGTTCCTAGTGAGAACGCAGAGGGTGAGTGAACGCCGCATTTCCAAATGAGTTTTTACTTCCCACAGACCAGGAGATTCCTAGGCTGAGAAGCACCATGAGTTTCTAGCATGGCAGGTGTAGCGGGTCTCCGCACAAAAACTCACACAAATATGGGCGGTTGTTTCAGCTGGCACCTGGAACACCTGGGAGACAGAGTCGCCCATTTAGCTGAAAAAAAGGGGGCTGAAATGGAACCAGGTGATCTGGCTCAGTGGGTCCCACCCCGACAAAGACCAGCAATCTGAAACACTCTGGATTGAGAGTTTCCCATGAAGCGCAGCTGGACCCAGGATAGTCCAGCTCTGTAGGTGGAAGGGTGTCCACCACTACCGAGGCAGTCTGCCATTACTGAGGCAGTTCTAACTATACCTCTATAAACAAAACTACAAGGAAGTTCACACAGTAGCTGGACAGAGCCCATGGCAGCTCAGCAATGCCTCTGCTGACATTCTGTGACTAGGCTATCTCCTTGCTGGGCAGGCCATCTCTGGAAAAAGACAGCAGCATGTCAGGAACTTATAAATAAAGCCCCACCTTCCCAGGACAGAGCACCTGGGAAAAAAGAGTTCCACTGCAGCAGACTTAAATGTACCTGTCCAGCAGCTATGAACAGAAAAGTGGAGCTCACAGCTCAGCACTCGAGCTCCTATAAGGGACAGACTGTCTCTTCAGGCAGCTCCCCAACCCCCGTATATCCAAAGAGACACCTCATAAAGGAGAGCTCAGGCTGACATCTGGCGGATATCCTTCTGGGACAAAGATAGCAGAAGAAGAAACTGGCAGCAACCCTTACTGTTCTGCAGCCGCTGCAGGTGATCCCCAGGCAAGCAGGGTCTGGAGTGGACCTCCAGCAGTCCTGCAGCAGAGGGGCCTGACTGTTAGAAGGAAAACTAAGAAACAGAAATGACTTCATCATCAACAAAAAGGACATCCACTTGGAGACCCCATCCAAAAGTCACCAACTAAAACTAGATACACACTAAAATATTTTATTTTCATCTAATCCCGCTTTAATGACCAGAACCCCCTAAAAACAATTCCAAACTAAAAAATGTAAATCCATTTCCTATGTGGATTTGTTCTTTGATATCATCAGGGTTAATGTTTGCATCCACTGTGCTGAAATTGAGGATATTGGGAAAGAAGTGTCATTGCTTTGTTACTAAATGTCGCTTGAGTGTGCTTAGCTTTCATCCATAAGAGAGCTGAACTTCCCTTGTGATAATTTTTAAAAAAAAAACAATGACAGAAAAAACCCTTGCCGATTATTTCATCTCCGCAAAAGCAGGTGGGAACTGCAAAGAGGTTTGCTTATCTTGCTCAGTCAAGGGCTGGTAAAAACTTTGGTAAGTAGACCTGGTAGCTGGTGTCCCCTTCCATTGTTCACTTTCATCCTTCTGAATTCTTGATTCCCACATAGGAAACCATTCTCAGAAGCCAGCCTCTTGGGAGTTTCCTTTTGTTTCTCCAAGATTAACCAGCTCTGTACTGGCAGCAGGAGCAGGCACTAGGGGAGGAGAGGCTCTTCAGGGCTTTCAGCATTTTTCCAAGCAGAGCTTTTCTCCCTCACTTCCTCACTGGTAGTGAAAATGCTTTCTTGCAATGTCTTCCTCTTTTTCTGATGAAACGCTGTTTCTGATTGCCATCTAGCAGCTTCCGGTGGTGGTAAGTGGTCAAGAGTGTTTTTCCGGGAGTTGATCTCAGGTTTTCGAGAATGCCCCTAGAGACCCAGTTTGTTTTCTATGTCATTTCTTGAGCTTTCAGAGTAGCCTTGCTTTTCTCCTTGGCATGGTCATGGAACGGATACTTGTTTGATCTTCCTGCACTGCTGGGAAATCTCCCTTTTTGGGGAGAGGGTTAGGTCTGGGTTGAGGTGAGTAGATGGGGAGCATTCAATGCTTAGTGAGATGAAGCAAAGATTTAGCTGTGGGCTGGTTGGAACAATCTGTTTCTTTTCTCCCGATTCCTATTTTGTTCTGCTGTTTTCATCTTTGGGGCTAAGGTTTCACAAATATTCTTTATTATTCTCCTTTTGCTAAAAAACAAATTTTGGAGGATTAGTTGGAAATGGGAGATATGACATTTTTTTTGTTGTTTGAAATTTTTATTTTTTATTCTGTTAGGATACCTATTAAATGACCAATGATAGTAGCATAAATGTTCATTTCTTCTTGATTTGTAGGTCTTTGTCACTTCCTTTGGTAGTAGTTGGTTTTATTTTTTTCACAGGGTTTGTATTGGTGCACTTTTCAATATACTGTTTAATCTGTTGTCAGTTTGTGCTTTAGATATGAACAGTTTGCACTGAGCTATCCCTCTGAGGTTTGAGGTTATGTTTTCAGTGCTAAAATTTGTCTGAACAGGTAAAGGTATCTTTTAGCTGTTTTGTTTATAGGCAAGAGAGTGTCTTAGGTCCCTCATTAACAATTAGCTGTTTTGAAGAAATGAAAACTGGTGAAAAACATTAATTGGAAGCTGAAGGCTTATTAGAAAGGAAATGAGGAAATAGAGGTTTTCGTATAGGATTACCAACACCTGTGCCCATGAAGTATCCTGTTTTGCTCAGCTGTTGCTCTGATGCTGGCCTTTACTGCAAAATGAAAACTCAGAGTGATGTCAGTTTTGATTTTGTTCTTTAAATTCATTTTTTATTTTTTATGTGATACATAATAACTGCACATATTTATGGGGTACATGTGATATTTTGGTGCATGCATCTGATGTGTAATGATCAAATCAGGGCAATTAACATACATATCACTTCAAACATTTATCATTTCTTTGTGTTGGTAATATTCCAAATCTTCTCTTTTAGCTATTTTGAGATACAATAAATTATTGTTATTTATCGTCATACTACTGTGTTACCAAATACTAGAACCTGTTCCTTCTATCTAACTATATGTTTGTGCCCATTAACCAGCCTATCTTTACCCCCTTCTTCCTATTCCTCTTCCTAGCAGCCTCTGGTAACCACCATTCTCCCTCTTTACCTCATGAGATCAACTTTTAGCTCCCACATATGCGTGAGGATATGTGAGATTTGTCTTTCTGTGCCTGGCTTATTTTGCTTACCATAATATCCTCCAGTTCCATCCATGTTGCTGCAAATGACAGAGCTTTACTCCTTCTCATGGCTGAATAATATTCCATTGTATATAAATACGACATTAAAAAATTTTATTCATCGGGCTGGGTGTGGTGGCTCACGCCTGTAATCCAAGCACTTTGGAGGCTAAGGCGAGTGGATCACCTGAGGTCGGGAGTTCAAGACCAGCCTGACCAACATGGTGAAACCTCGTCTTTAGGAAAAAAAAATTATTCATCAAGGATAAGTATGGCTGCTTCCATAGCTTGGCTATTGCGAATAGTGCTGCAATAAAAACATGGGAGTGCAGATGTAATAGTGCTGCAATATAAACATGGGAGTTCAGATATCTCTTCAATGTATTTATTTCCTTTCTTTTGGATGTATTCCCAGTAATGGAATTGCTGGATCGTATGGTGGGTCTAGTTTTACTTTTTTATAAACCACAGGGTGATTTATTTTAACCTATATTATGCCTTTATATTGTCTCATGCAGAAATCTTTAAAAATGAGGGAATAGCTGATTTTTTTTGTGCTCCTGGAGGATTTCTTTGTGGATGGGAGAATTTTACTTTGTTTATATGTAGCATATTGAACATTTTCATTTAGTGGGAAAAGAGTTAACTATTTAAAAGAAAATTGGAAATTGTAGCTCTCATTGAAATTAAACTTAACGTGTGTTTGGCCAGATGCAGAAGCTCATGCCTGTAATCCCAGTACTTTGGGAGACTGAGGTGGGCAGATTACTTGAGGTCTGGAATTCAAGATTAGCCTGGCTAACATGGTGAAACCCTGTCTCTACTAAAAATACAAAAATTTGCCAGGTGTGGTGGTACCTTCCTGTAACCCCAACTACTTAGGAGGCTGAGGCAGGAGAATCACCTGAATCATGCAGTGGAGGTTGCAGTGAGCCGAGGTCGGGCCACTGCACTCCAGCCTGGGCGACAGAGCGAGACTTGTCTCTAAAAAAATAAAATAAAATAAAACAAAAACCAAAACTTAATGTATGTAATCTAGATTCTCATATAGCATGACTAAGAATTAAATACAAATATTTGTCTTGAGGATTTCTCATGAAAAGATATTAAAAAATGATAACCTCCTAGCAACATTAAATATTTCAAATATTAATGAAAAATTTCTAATTACATATTGAATATTATTGATTTTTATGTGTTTGGAAACATGATCCTTCCTTTCTTTAAAGTTACCTTGCTTTCCTTTCTTCTTTTATTTACTCAATCGAAGTTTGAGTGCCTACCTGGTGCCAGGCACTGTACTAGATGCCTAGGGGACGAGGGCACAGAGGAAAGGCCACATCATTTCATTTCAGTGGACCCCTCTCTGACCTTTCTTTTGAAGTTGAGCACTCCCTAGTGCTCTGTCCTTGTTCCTCACGCTCTGTTCTTTCCTCACCTCTCTTTGTTCTTGTCTTTTCTGGATGAGGTTATTCATTCTCCTTGATTTCACTCCTTTCCTTGTATATTGATGTTTCCAAGTCTATAAATATTTTTTTTTGTCCTTAGTGCTGAAGATATTTTCAGTGGTCAAGAGACATTTTAAGCCTACATGTTCAAACTGAATTCTTTATTCTTTCATCCCAATTTTTTCTTCTGCCCCTCTGCCTTCTCTTCCTTTCCCCTTCACTGTTGTATTTATCATCATAGTGGCACCTCTGTTCCCTCAATGTCCCAACACGAAAACCTAGAAGTCACCCTAGATTCCTCCTTTTTCTGCATCCGAGCATGCACACCTTTTATTTTATTTTTTAAAGAGACAGGGTCTCACTATGTTGCCCAGGCTGGTCTCCAACTCCTGGGCTCAAGCAATCCATCTGCCTTGGCCTCCCAAGGTGCTGGGATTACAGGCGTGAGCCACCACATCTGGCCCACACAGATCATTTATAAACTGCATGTTTATGGAAACATTTCTAGAATTAAGCTCCATTTGCCAGTTGTCACTGCTCTCCCATCTCTTTTTGTGCCAGCCCATACTGTGAGATTAACCTTCCTAAAATCTCTGACAGCCTGGACTGGCACAGAGAGACACAAGGGAACAAGGAAAACAGAAAAGAGAGCTGAATTCTGATGCACCATTCTACTTAGATACCTCTTCTGTCTCCCTACAACCTGCAGGAGCAACCACAAGGATCTTAACCATAGCAATGCTCTGTGTCACCTTATCTATAAAACAGGGATGATGATAATTCCTGCTCAAAGAGTTTTGATGAGGACTGAATAAGACAACACATGTCAAGTGCTTAGCACAAGGCCAAGTCCCCAGTGAATGGCAGTGACGATGAGGACAATGATGAAGATGATCCTGTCTTTCAGAAGCCACCTCTTACCTACCTTGCCAGCCCCATATCACTGCACATTCTTCCCATGCCTGTGTGATCTGCTTGCCATGACTGTCACTGCTCCCCAAACCTTCCTTCCATTTCACAACACTTGGCCTTTTCTCATGCTCTTCCTTTGACTTGTCTTTACTTTGTTTTGTTTAGCAAACTCTTCTTTTCCTTTCAAAAGGACTCAACTCAGAACTGCCATCCGTGAGGTCTTAGCTGACTCTGCAAAGTAGACTTGGTGACTGCCTTCCCTCTTCCTCCATAGTTCTCCACCCCTCCTTCTACCATAGCCCTGCACCCATCATCCTTTTTAAGATTATTTATTTATTTTGAGACAGGGTCTCATGTGTCACCAAGGCTGGAGTGAAGTGGTGCAATCACAGCTCACTGCAGTCTTGAGCTCCTGGTCTCAAGTAGTCCTCCCACTTCAGCCTCCCAAGCAGTGGGACTACAGGTATGAGCTACCATGCCTGGTTAATATTTTATATTTTTTGTAGAGATGGGATTTTGCCATGTTGCCCAAACTGGTCTCAAACTCCTGGACTCAAGTGAGGAGATAGGGGACATCTGCCCACCTTAGCCTCCCAAAGTTTTGGGATTATGGGTGTGAACCACTACGCCTGGCCTACACTCACCATTTGAATGGTCTTTTATGTGTCTGTCTGCTCTCATCTTCCCCAGATTGTGTGTGGGCTTTCCAAAGCACTGGAAATGCATTTTTGCCTCCCTTGTGGCTAGCCCAGGTTAGGTATAGAGTAGGCACCTGATAAGTGTTTGATGATTGAATGTCAGTAGAGGAAGGATATGTCTCTTACATTTGGTAGGAGGTTTTCTCCATGTGGAGAGTTAAAAAAAATTCATTTTAAGAAAAATAAAAATAATCATTGCTTTCCCTTATTGAGTACTAACTTTGTGGCAGGAGGCATTGAGCTAATTTCTTTAGGAGCATGGCTTGGTTTAGTTTTCCTAGTGATCCTATGAGTTACTCTGATTGTCCACAGAGAAGAAAACTGGGGTTTAGAGGGAGGGGAACTTGCTTGAGATTCTAGTGTTAACAGGAGCAAACTTGGGCGGCCTAACGCCAGCACTGGTGGAGCAATAGGGAAGTGAGAAGGAGAAGAAAGATGCACAAAGCAGGGGAGGCATGTTTGAGAGAAGAGGGATGGGGTGAGGACAAGGAGGAGAAAATGAGCAAGAGATCAGCAAAGTAGGCCAGGAAAGGAAGAGAAGGGAAAGAGAAAAGGAAACTAGAATGCATTTCCGTAAGTGCGTCCATTGCTTCCTGAAGTTTTGATTGAAGTAACTCAGGAATGGAAAACCAAACATTATGTGTTTTCACTTATAAGTGGGAGCCAAGCCATGAGGATGCAAAGGCATAAGAATGACACAATGGATTTTATGGACTCAGGGTGAAAGAGTAGGAAGGGGGTGAGGGATAAAGGACTACAAATTGGGTGCAGTGTATATTAGTCGTGTGATGGGTACACCAGAATTTCACAGATCACCACTAAAGAACTTATTCATGTAACCAAACACCGTTTCCCAAAAACCTACGGAAATAAAAAATTAAAGAAAAAAACCCAGGAGACTACACACCCACATGTACACACACACACACAGATTGGCTTAATATATTTTTTTCACTTCTACTTTTGTATACTTCCTACAATCTACAAGCACTGTGGCTGTTGGCAGCTGTTACCAATACCTAGTAGGATTATCTCTCGCTTCCACCCTCACACTCACACTCAAAGCTGCACACGTGCAGGATGGAAGCTGGGGCTTGTTCCTTTTCTCTCACTGGTGTTAGCTCCCAAGGCTGAGATTTCTCTGTTTCATCTGGATTGCCCGTCTCTGGGGTCTTAGAGCTAAGTTTCAGTTCCCCAATCCCACCTGCTCTTCAGAAAGCCGGCACTGGGGCTGCAGGTAATATTTTGGTAGGCAGGGATGCCTGTGAGTGTGACAGCAAGGTCACCCTTACCTGGGTCCCAGGGTGGGAGGACTCGCTGAGGCTTTGCTCTTCAGGCTCTGGGAACCTAGGGCCAGAGGGAGGAAAGGGGAAGGGCTGGGCGGCCGGAGGAGAGACGGGCTTGTTCCTTCCTCCTGTTATCCTTGCTTGCCATCCTCAGACCCAGCTTCTGCTCAAGCACACTGGTGCAGCCCTCACCAGGAGGCTCTTCGTCTCCACACTTGGTGGGGTTAGTTCTCAGAGAGACGGTAGGTTGGGATGGGAAGCAGAGGCCTTATTGAGAATTGTGAAGAAATATTAGGGAAACGGAAAGGAAACTTGGTAAAAAGCAGAGAAGGAGATGGATTCAGAGGAGAAAAAGTAGACTCAGGAGGTGGTAGTGAGGTGGAGGGAACACACTTTTATGGAATGAACTGTTCATAGCTTTGTACTTAACCTCACAGAGCTCAGAGGAAGGCATTCCCATTTCTACTTTACAGATGTGGAGACTGAGTCTCAGGTCTCAGGCAGGGTACGTGACTTGCTCAAAGCTACACTAGATAGAAAGCCACTGAGCTGGGACTTGAACCTTTGTATTCGTTAAGTCTCTCCTGTATGGCACTCTGTTTCCAAAGAGGAGAGCAGGCAAGCAGAACAGAACAGAGAATGGAACATAGAAGGAGATCTGGGGTTGGGCACATTTCATATTGGTTCCCTTCCTCCTTGGCCAGTTTTGTCCTGAGTCCTCAGAGAACTGGAGAGCACACACACCTAAAGGAAGTAGACGATCCCCACCCTGGTGGGAACACTTCAGTTCCTCCCTAGGCTCTCAGATGGGAGACAGGGAGGGGCTCACCTGGGCAGGTCTCCAGGCCAGCAAGGGGGCCTGCCAAGCCTCTGCCTGTGCTTTTTCCTGACCTCCACTGCTCCTGTCTCTTCCTCAACTGCCCTGGCTTCTTCCTTTTCCCTTTCTTTTTCAAACTCCTCTGATTCCTTTGCCTTAGAGCTAAGTGTCATTCTGCTTTCTATTTTCAATCTTTCTATTTCCACTGGCTCTAACCCCTCAGTTTACCACCTGCCTCTTATCTCCTCACCCCAAACACAACTTCTCTTGAAGTCTCATCACCTGTTCACCCTTATGCCCATTTATTTACTTTTGTAGAGAGGTCTTACAATTTGGCCAGGCTGGTCTAGAGGCTCAAATAGGCCTCCCACTTCAGCCTCCCAGAGTGTTAGGATTATAGGCATGAGCATCTGTGCCCAGCCATTATCTCCTTTCTTTTATTGCAGAATGTCTTGAAGGAGTTACACTCACTGTCCTCATTTTTTCCTAATGTTAATGCAGAAACTTTGACAAAGAGACATCAATGATCTGCCTTTGAGAGAACTAATATCAAATGTGCATCCTCGTGCCCTGTCCCCGTGGCCCACCCCTTGGCTCTGAGGTTTACAGACCTTATTTGCCCCAGGTTCTGTAATGAGTTAGTGAAGAAAAGCAGGAATCCAAGAACAGGGTGGAACAGCTCTCAGGGCTTTTCTCTTGGATGACTTTTGGTGAGTTTACTATGGTTAGAGTAGGTCTTTTTGTTCTGTAGACTTTGTACCATAATTCAATAATAGCCCACCCAAAACAGATCTTTCTGGGGGCAGATTAATAGTAGGTCAGGAAACTGATGATAGAAAATAAAAATGACAATTTATTAATTTAAAATACATAGTCTAACTGTCAGGAGGACCAGGATGTTCACTTCAGCATGACAGGTGCATTCTTTCCCTGTGGGCAGGCTTCTGTGAGAAAGCAAATTATTATCAACAGGTTGCTTGGTGAGCATGGAATGAGAGCAAGGGGAATTAGCTGTAATAACTTGATTGCTGAATGGCCTCAGATCATTAAAGGGACTTTCCATTTTAATCCTTAAAGTGTTGAGTCACCTGCACCAGGTGTTCCTTTTCACTATAAGGAAAGACTTCCTTGTGGAAGGCTGCCCTCTTTCTCACACGATGCTTAACTAGCAGTTTTAGCATGGAGGTCTTGTTATCACTTCAGTCTCAAGGTGTCTAAAACCAACTCTTTATTTTCCTTGTACAAACTGACATCTTTTGACTTTGCTATTTCTTACATTAGAAAATTATTTTCTGTGACCAAGATTCAATACCTAAACTTGAAACGTGAAAACAAAATATTTATGGAAGTATCAATTTCAGTTTTCAAAACATGCATTGCATTTTAAAATCAATTAATATATGTAAGGTCCTTAGCTATCATTTGTTACGTTTCTCTCTCATTCTACTTTCTCACACTTCCCTTATTAAAAATAAGTCATTTTAATTCCTTGAATTAAAACAAGCCATTTTAATTCCTTAAAACTACCATTTTAATTCCTTGAATAAGAGGAAGCCAAGGGTAAGGTGGATAAGGCCCATCTAACAGCTTTGCTTTTCAGGTTTCCTCTACTTGGAGGCAGTTTGTAAGAGGGGGAACTTATTCTTGTAAATATTGTTTGCTTCAGTACTTGTAAAGGGTTAAATTTCAGAATCTTAAGTTCCTGCTTCTAGAGCTAGACTTGACTCTAGCAGACCTTTTTCTTTCAACTGATTTTGTTTACTCTATTTCCTTAGATCTTTACTGTTCCGAAAGTTCAACAAAAGATGACTTTTTCTTTACTTCGACAACCTTTAGAGGTGGAGCAAGTGTCAGTGGTGGTATTTCGGTGAGTTGATCAATTTGCAAGAATGACAGGACTAAATTTTACTTCTAGAGTTAAACTAGAATCTGCTACGTTCATATGAGTCCTTCATAAAGTATATCTGGATTGCCATAGCTACTAGAAAAAGATTGGATTTGAGGAAACAAGGACTTGAATGTCAATTCTTTTTTTTTCGATGTTAGTTTATGTGTCAGAGAGTGATAACACTTGACTAGGATTATTAATGAGAAACAACTTCTGGAAATCTTATGGAAATATTATTTCATATAATAGTGATTATATAATTACTGTGAATTAAAGTACAGACTATTTTCTACAAAAGGAAAAATGGCTAAAAATTGAAAAACGAATTTATTCAGTATGTTCAAAATAAAAGGTTTCAAAGACATTTTGGAAGATGATATTGGAAAAATTAAAAGCAGCAACGTAGCTGTATGTTTCAAAAGTAATTTTAGGAAGAATAAGGAAGAACGTGATATTGCTTTATGTTTGAATGTCTAGGAACTTTTAAAATGAGAAGTGCTAGCAGGAAGAGCTAAAATAAGATAGAGAAGAGGTTACTTGGATATTTTCTCCTTAGTTACCTTATAGTACACAATTGTAGTTAAGTTCATCTTTGTTTTCTATTGGTACCAATACCTCAAAGAAAGGATAAGCTGCCAAGTGGCTAGTGCTTTGATTAGCTTTCTGAGAGATGTGTCTTCTGCCTGCTTTCTCATTACCAAAAAAGGGCGTAGAGACTCCCTTTTTTCATCTTAAAGAATGTTCTTCCTTTCCTCTGCTCCAGGGACTCAGCCTATGAAAAGAGAACGTGTTGATTTAGTCTCCCCGGAGAATTTTCAAGCCCTAATAAGTTGGCTTAGAACTTGCTGATGACCCTTTACCCTCTGGCCAGGTGGGGCTACCAGATACAGATGTCGTCACAGAATTCATTCACCTGCCTAATACCGTTTTGTATTTGTTTCTGTGACTATTCTTTGAAACAAAAACAGCTTTGTTTTTTGTTTGTCTGTGGGTATTTTGTGAAACAAAGAAACAACAAAGTCCTTCACTGGTGAAAACTCACTTTTGCCTGTGGTATTTTTCAAGGAAGACTTTACCATTGAACACCTTTTCGTGTATCTTCCTTTGTAGCTATAGTGCCTCCTGTAAATGAGCGTCCCCAGGTTTGCTCATTTTCTCTTCTTTCTTCTGCTCTTCAATTTGCCTGCAACACTATTCCTATTGGTAATCCAGTTTTGCTCATGTTTTGAGGTTTTTCCCAGGCTGAAGATAAGGGTGTGTAGGAAGATAGGGACGAGAAAGAGGGAGGGAGCAGCCAAAAAAGCTGCAGCCACCCCAGCTTGGGAAGGCAGATCTAAGACATTTTGTGGCTGGGGCCTGGGGTCTGGGATCCAGGAAGGGATAGTTCCTAACAGAGAAGTGCCTTTTAGCATCTGGAAGCCCTTGCTTCGTTTCTCATGGAAATTAGTCTTTCATTCAACAAGTATTTACTGAGCATTGCTATGTGCCAGGCAGGCATTAGATGCTGGAAATACAGCTATGAAGCCCTGTCCTAAAGGAGTTTGTGGAATAATGGGAAAATGGCCAAGATAATAGAAAAGTGTATTCTAGAGTGATGGGGCTCTCACATGGGCAGTGCCAGGTTCTAAGGGAACACACAGGAAGTGCTCCTATCTCTGATTTGGGGAGGTCAGAGAAGGCCTCCTAGAATAAATGATATATGAGTTGACATTGGACAGATGAATAGGAGCTAGTCCGATAAAGCGTGTAGAGACAGCATTAGACGGTAACGGAGAGGGAAGAACATGTGTGAAGGCCACTAAATAGAAAGAAGCTGAATTGAATATTTCTGGAGTGCAGAGCAGGGAGGCATGGGAACAGTGAAGGAGAGTGATTAGGAATCAGACTGGAAAGATGAGCAGGGACCAAGTTGCTGAAGGTCCTAGGAGTCATGTTAGTTTTTTCCCTAAGGCCAACAAGAGGTGTTTGCAGGTTTTTTAGCAGAGGCGTGACATGATGTCATTCCCCTTTAATAATGATGACTCTGGCTTTGATGTGGACACTGATCTACAGGTGGCCAAGGCTGGAACAAGGGAGGAACACTGGGGAGAGCAAGCATTGGTTAGCAGGTGCGTCCTGGAGATAACCCACTGCCTGGGGCAGTTGGGGAGTAGAGAGGTGGGGCTAGGAGGGATGGTCTTGGGCAGCTTTAGTGGCAGCTGGTTGAAGGTGCAGAGGGAGGAACAGGGGAGCTACTGATGGTATATATTTGATGACCTAGCCTTGTTTCTAGCAACACTTGGCAGCAACGCCCCTATCTCCTTGCTTGGATTCATAAGTTTATTTGTCTGGCTTACCCCAGGGGTCAGAAAAGGAAGAAATGATGGTTTCAGGCTTTTTAGACTTCTCGGGGATTTGTGGTGGAGCAGTGCATGTTGATGAACTTCCTCTGCAAACTTTGTTCTTGTAACTACTAAGCCATAAGAGTTGTTCTTCCCCTTCTCTGGTCACCATATGAGTGACCAACTTCTTCTTTATGTATGTTGGCCACATCTTGCCACACCACTTTAGTGAGCAGGAAGACAGCCAGTCATTTCTTTTTCTAACTGAAAGAGCATGCAGCTAGTACCTCTGCCTACACTGTCATGTGTTTGCAAAGGTGCATTTATTTCTATGGTCTTTTGCATTTTGAAAGTTTGAAATCACTTGTTAGCTCCTTCATTTATTAATTCTAAATCCCTGGGCATTTGCAATACGAAGGAAATTTAACTACATGTAGGGAAAAAAAGAAATGCAAAACTGACATTATTCTGGCTTAAAAATAACTACTTGGAGAAGACTACGTAGTTGAGAATAAATTGAGGAAAAGTTTTGGATTGCATTTTGTTTCTCTAGAGCCTGGGTGATAATTTCCTCTCACATATAGCTCTTGAAGTTCACTTCTGGTTCTCAGCTATGGCTTGTGAAAGAATTACCTATGGCACTTAAATAAAAGGTAGATGCTGGAACCTCACCCCTGAGATATTCTGATTCACTGGATTTGAGATATATTAGAACATCTGACTCAATTTTAATGCCAAATTGAGTGGCACACTGTGCTAACCTCGAGTTGTCACATACGACCTTTAAAATACAAATAGATTATTTTTGTACAGTATTATTTGTATCTGGTTGGGCTAAAGCCTGATAAATTAAATCTGTTTTTCCTCCCTGTGTTAGTGACTTCCTACTTATCTAGATTTGTCTACAAAGAAAGTTAAAGGGGGTAAATTTAGAGTTACTGTGCATTTTTCAGATACTAATATTGTGTACTTCCATTTTTTTATGTAGGCTACCTATTAAGATTTGGTGAAAGATCAGGTGTAATAATGTTCTGCAGTGAAAAGAAATCACTTGGTAAGTTTTAAGTTCTTCCAATGATGCAAAGTGATATTTTAAAAATATAATTTTAAATTTTTCATGAAAGTTTAATTTACGTACAAAAAGCACACAGGTCTAGGTGTTGCAGCTCAATGAACTTTGACAATTATTTACACCCATGTAACTAGGAAGGGTATATACAACAAGATATAGAACATTTATTTCTATCACCCCAGAAAGTTCCTTTGTGCCCCTTTTCATTCATTCTTTCTGCACCCACTGTGATCATCTTTTGATTTCTGTCAGATTAGTTTTACCTACTTTCAAAATGAGTATAAATGAAATCATGCAGTGTGTGTTCTATTGTATTGCTGCTTTTGCTCAGCATAAGGTTTTTGACATGTAGTCATATGGTTACATGTGTTAATAGTTTGTTCTTCATTTTAAATTTCAAAGCAGTGTTCCATTGTGTGAACACACCAACAGTTAAAACAGAGTTCATATAGTTAGAAATAATTTTGGTCGTGATAGCAGAAAACACACTTATTTTGGTTAAGTAATTTGATTGAGTGATTAATAGTATCATTAACACTATTCAGTCTACTGAATCCGATTTCTTTAATATAGCATCCACACCAGAGAGTACTGATTTTCTCTTTTGTCTCTAGTTAGCGAGTGACAGACTATTATGTAATTTTTCTTTCAGTAGATGTATGTCCAACCTATTACTGCTGTTTATTTTTGACCATAGGCTCTTTAGAGACTAAAGGCTGGTTTAGAGTTTATCTAATGTCCTGTCTCTCCTTCCAATGTCATCCCTGATAGGTGGTTAACATAATTCCACAGATAATTATATCATGATGCAGTTCATTCCCTTGTTGGATACTTATTCATTGCAACATTCAGCCTCATAATGAGTTGAACTCTGTATCAATGTGGTTCCTACCCACGGGCCATTAGTTATGCCCTCTGGGGCAATATATTCATATTCCCAATGCTAATCAGGAGTCTAGAATTATTGTCATCGTTTTTTTCAAGTAAAATGATTTATTTATATATAATCTTAATAGTGTAAAGCGAAGATTAACTGGATTTAATACAAACAAGTTTTCAATAGGACCGAGTGTTGCAAAATTTTAATATGTTGTAACATGATCTAAGATCCAGGTCTCATTCTCTTGAAAAGTAATTCATATGTATATGTATATATGAATGCATATGTGTAAAAGTAGGCAATTTTTGGAAATAAAAATAAGAAAGCAGGAGTTGCTGTAATCATGCTACCTAGAGATAACTACTGAGGCTACTGTGTTGCACAACTTTACAGGGCTCCAATTATAGTGACCTGTATTAACATATTGTGTATATTGATCCAAATATGTATCACCAAATGGAATTATCCTGCACAGTATTTTGAAAGCTCCTCTTTAAACTTAAAATTATAATTATAGGCACCTTTTATGTCTTTAAACATTTCTCATTAACATTATTCTTATTTACATTTCCCCTTTTAATTTTGAAAATGTTGAGTTTTACAGAACAATTGAAAGAATGATATGATGAACCCTTCATTTTAATTCTACAATTATTACTGTTTGCCACATTTGCTTCCTTACTGTCTCTCTCTTTTTCTATACAAACACATGTGCTCATGTGTACACACACACACGGGGTCTTTTTTTTTTAAATTTAAATAAGTTTTTGGGGAACAGGTGGTATTTGGTTACATGAGTAAGTTCTTTAGTGGCGATTTCTGAGATTTGGTGCACCCATCACCTGAGTAGTATACACTGTTCCCAATTTGTAGTCTTTTATCCCTCACTCCCCTTCCCACCCTTTCCCCTGAGTCCCCAAAATCCATGGTATCATTCTTAGGACTTTGCATCCTCATAACTTAGGGTGAGAACATATGATGTTTAGTTTTCCATTCCTGAGTTATTTCACTTAGAATAATGGTCTCCAATTCCATCCAGGTTACTGCAAATGCCATTATTTCATTCCTTTTTATGTCTCAGTAGTATTCTATGGTGTGTGTGTGTGTGTGTGTGTGTGTGTGTGTGTGTGTATGCCGTATTTTCTTTATCCACTTGTTGATTGATGGGCATTTGGGTTGGTTCCATAGTTTTTGCAATTGCAAATTGTGCTGCTATAAACATGAGTGTGCAAGTGTTTTTTTCATATAATGACTTTTTTTTCCTTGGGTAGATAGCCAGGAGTGGGATTGCTGGGTCAAATGGTAGATCTACTTTAAGGAATTTTCACACTGTTTTCCATAGTGGTTGTACTAGTTTACATTCCCAATAACAGTGTAAAAGTGTTCCCTTTTCACCACATCTATGTCAACATTTATTATTTTTTGATTATGGCCATTTTTGCAGGAGTGAGGTGGTATTACACTGTGCTTTTGGTTTGCATTTTCCTGATAATTAGTGATGTTGAGAATTTTTCATATGTTTTTTGGCCATTTGTATATTCTCTTTTGAGAATTGTCTTTTCATGTCTTTAGCCCACTTTTTGATGGGATTATTTGTTTTTTTCTTCCTGATTTGTTTGAGTTCCTTGTAGATTCTGGATATTAGTCTTGTGTCAGATGTATATATTGTGAAGATTTTCTCCCATTCTGTGAGTTGTTTATTCTGGTGATTATTTCTTTTGCTGTGTAGAAGCTTTTTAGTTTAATTAAGTCCCATCTATTTACGTTTGTTTTGTTGCATTTGCTTTTGGGTTCTTCATCATGAAGTCTTAGCCTAAGCCAATGTCTAGAAGGGTTTGTCTGATGTTATCTTCTAGAAATTTTATGGTTTCAGGTCTTAGATTTAAATCTTTGATCCGTCTTGAGTTAACTTTGTGTAAGGTGAGAGATGAGAATCCAGTTTCATTCTTCTACATGTGGCTAGCCAATTATCCAAGCACCATTTGTTGCATCAGGCATCCTTTCCCTCCTTGATGATTTTGTTTGCTTTGTTGAAGATCAGTTGACTACAAATACTGAGCTTTATTTCTGGGTTTGCTATTCTGTTGCATTGGTCTACATGTCTGTTTTTATAGCAGTACCATGCTGTTTTGGTGACTATGGCCTTATAGTATAGTTTGAAGTTAGGTAATGTAATGCCTACAGATTTGTTCTTTTTGCTTAGTCTTGCTTTGGCTATGTGAACTCCTTTTTGGTTCCATATGAATTTTAAGATTGTTTTTTCTAGTTCTGTGAAAAATCTGGGATCCAGTCTCTTAAAAAAGAGAAAAAAAGAAAAAGAAAAAAATTATACACGAGCTTTTCCACAAAGCAATCGGGAAGAATGTTGTTTATGGGTAAAATACCTAATTCAGATCTCATTTGTTTGGAAATACGGGAAGCAAAAGAAGTACATAATTAGAGGTCTTCTTTAAACCAGCTAAGCTGTTCTTGATTCATAAATATGGGGGTTGTGGAGCCGAAACGCAGCACTCCCTCCCTTACTTTGTTTTTATGGTGTAGAGTGGGAAGAATCAGACCAGTGCCATGTATGTCTTCTATGGGCCTTAGGCACTTTTGTCTTTGTGGAACACTTTCTTCATAAAAACATATTAAAAATTATATTTGATGAATATGTCAGTATAAAGACAAATATAATCCAGGCTAGATTCATTGTTATGTATCCATTACTATTATATTCATTTTTCCTCTGATTTTAAAATAAATGGAAATGGAAACATTTTTGTGGGCTCTTGAAAATATCGTAGGCCCTAGGCACTCTGCCTACTATGTCTCATGGATAAGTCAGCCCTGAATCAGATACACATTTTGGGGGTGAAGTAGCCTTCCAGAGAGCAACTCTGTATATCTTGGGGAGGAGAGAGAGACAGCTTGTTATTCTTATTTTTGTGAACTTACATATAGAAAACAGTTACATATGCTTTTGGTGGTAGTTGTGCTTTCAAGTTATTATTGCCACTGTAAGTTTAAAAACCCTGTGGTAAACTGGGCTTGGTGGCTCATGCCTGTAATCCTAGTGCTTTGGGAAGCTGAGGTGGGAGGATCACTTGAGGCCAGGAGTTTGAGAACACCATGGCCCATATAGCAAGAACCTGTCTCTACAAAAAATTAAAAATTAGTTGGGCATGGTGGCTTGTGCCTGTACTACTCAGGAGGCCGAGGTGGGAGGATAGCTTGAGCCCAGGAGGTCAAGGTTGCAGTGTGCTATGATCATGCCACTATACTCCAGCCTGCATGACAGAGCAAGATCCTATCTCAAAAAACAAAACAAAAAACAAAAAAACACCTGACAATACAGAAATGTATGGTACTCATGTATTTTCACAACACAACCAAAATCTTTAATTTTTTCTTGTCCAACTTAAACATACTGTTTGAGTTTAGTGGGTATCATGGGTTTACAAACCTCTGTTAATTTTCTGTAATTGTCCTTTGTGACAAAAAACAAAACATGAGTCAGAAGTGATAGGAGTGAATCTGGCTCTACTTGCCAGGCATTGGTATTCAAATCCTCTGAGCCTCAATTTTCTCATTTGCAATATGGGGCTAATGTTTACCTCTGAAGGTTACTGTAAAGATGAATGTAAAATGAAATATGTGAAGTACCTCATAAATTATAAAAGCACTATGTAAATGTTAGACAATACTGAATTCATAGATATATGATTCAGTTCATTGATTTCTAGGTTTTTCTCCTGAAAACTTCGAAGTTTTACAAAAACAGTGTCCAGTTTTATGGCTGACATGGGCATTATATGTACAGGTGGGTTTCTTATTTACTGAGGTAACTTGTATGGGGCTCTTATTTACAAGAGGACATTCTGGAAGCCTCTTTTGTACCCTCTGGGACTGCTGATTTTGAAAGGGTTGTTTACTTATGGAGACTCTCTAGAGGCCTGCCAGTGTTGTGCAAACTACAGTGACCAGTTGCTTTGCTTGAAGTTTATATATCTGCTTCTCAGGCATTTACAGTGACTTCTCTTACAATTAATGTTGCATTATCTCTTCTGTTTAACAAACCAGCAGGCTGTAATAGGACCTAGGAGTCATGGAGGTTCAGTGC